GTTGGTAATCGGTTGAATGAGATAATTCGGTTCGGTTAACCGATTAAGAAAATTTCTCTCGGTTCAAATCACTAGTCTAAAGGCGTATAAAAAAATTTTTTAAGTATAGCTAAGCCACCGATCATCATTTCTAAATTTAGATTGTCTGTCATGCTCAGCCGACTACACTACGTAATACTTTACTCCCGGAAAATTTAGCTCGACTTGTTCATTTTTATGTTATTAGAAATCACACTACCGTATATGCCAAGTCATGTGATCTTTGGTCTACTATTTCTTCTCGCTTATTGCAGATTCGGAATCTTTGTAATTCTTTTTGATTATATATCTTCTTTTACTTTTTTTGACGAATGATATATGAAATTTTTAAACTATTAGAGTTACTAATAAAAAGTAAAAGTCGCTGGCTAAAAAACAAAAGAAAAAGAGCAAGAAAAAAATGTATAGAAGTATAATAAGAACGTCCGCGAAATGGACATATCAGATGATCGAATAATGACGGAATGGCACACTGGCCAGTGTCATTATTCGATCATCTGATCTGGATTGATTCTTGGTTATTGGGACAATAACATACGTATTAGCCGATCACATTATATCGACACTAGTACTGTACATTTTGAATGTCCGAGCCTTTTTGACTGTCCGACTCTCATCTGATCCTAAAAATGCACGTATATGCAAAGTTAATTCTGAACAACATTTTAAAGCGAGTCATAATAATAAAATCTTTCGTTATTCGGTGTCAATTTATGTTCGAATGTTGCCCGAGTGACAACACTGCAACCTAACAAGATATTGTAAACTACCTATATAAGCGAGTTTCTCCGCTTTTTCGATAATTATCATATAAACGCAAAGTATTGTCATAGTAAAATCATCGTAAAACACATTGGCATTACGAAAAAGGGGATTTATGAATATGTTCTGAGCTTCAACAAAAGATGATCCGACGCCAGTTACAAGTAGTTAGGGATGCTACGGTCCGTCCTGGTCTTGGTTCAAAAGACCGGTCAAGGTAACGGACCAGACCAAGGTTCATGAATTGATCTACTGAACCGGTCCTAATTCAGTCTGGTTCAAGACCGGTCTGCTTTAGCCAATAGAAATGCAAAATTTAAATATGATTCAAATTCTACGTATAAGAAACATATAATGAATAAAACAGAACTAGCTTGTGAAAAGATTCAATCCACACCCAAGTTGTGTGCATTTCATCTGTTTTTAAATATAATTAACTGTAAGTTCAAGATATTTGAAAAATCATTGTCAATATCAGGCAATCTGGCATAAGAATTCTTTTCAAAATTTCACCAATTTTGTTAAGATAATTGTAAATGCTATTACATATCAGATATGCTCAAGTATAAGTTTGTTCATCGAATTATGTTACATACAGTACTATATATTTGGTATCCCTACCATGGACTTATTAAGACCAGTCTCAATTTATGGACCGGAGACCACCTGAACCGGTTCAAAAGACTGGTTCAGACCGTGGTCTTTGCCCTACAAATTCTTAAGAACAGCATTTTAAGTTAATCATGTGATTGCTTCATTCTAAAATTTAGAAATCGCACTATATTCCTATATATGCAAATTCGGTTAAAAAATCTTTAGTCTATCAGAAAGTTACATACTGTAATTTTTCGAAAAAAAAAATTATGGCACTAAAAATTATTTTTATTCATTAACTTTTAACCCTCATTTTAAATCATTAAATTAAACTTATCCAACAAAGAATATTCGGAAAGAAAACAAATACATTAATTAATAAACCGAAATTCAATGAAAGAAAGCAAGAAATATTTAACAATAGGAATAATAGGTGCAGATTTTTATAAAAAGGGTTTATTAAATGCAAAGTTTCATATTTAATAGGCACTAGATTTTTACTGTATTTAATAATATATACTAATAAAATAATAATGGTAATAAAAAATGCCTTAGTACAGAGACTAATTTATCAATAGTTAAATCCAAATGAAACCAATATAACTAGTACGTTTGGATCGGTTATTAAAATAAAAATTTTTTTTTCTTTTTTTTTAGTGAAATTTATTCATTATCTACCCATGTACTTGCTAAAGACCCAAAGAAAGGTACTTCGAAACGTTCCAAATTAACGCCATCCAAATAGGCCCGATAACTATTTTTTTATTTTTATTTTTTTTGAGAGAGAGATGAATTAATAAATGTTTATATGAACGTTAATCTAGGCAACGAAAAAAATATCTTACCCAAGATAAATAGCGAGCCCTATTTCAATGACCAATAAAATCCAACTTAGAACCTCGCTAAGGAGTAGTATAAAAAAATGGATACCCTAGTTCATATAAAAGTTAGTAATCACACATAATAAAATTATTAAAAAAATTTAAAATGACAAAAATGGCTTACAAAAAGTGTTGAAAAAACTAAGGATGACTATTTTTGATAAACACAAATATTAAAATTAAATACGAATACTTATTCAATAAAGATTTATTCTTTACTTCTCTTACCTGCCATGCGTGAAATCGAACATAATCATTTTTTTGCTCAGCAATTAAAAATAGGAGACCTTTAAAAAAAAAAAATCAATCTTTAAAAAATTTAACAAATTACTTTATGAAATAAAATATTTCGATGAAAATGGTACCAGTAACACAGCCTAAAGCATATGTCATAGCAGCTTCAATATCGACTCTAACGCGAAGTAAAACCGAAACAATCGTTTTAAAAAACCGGAATATAAAACACCATTTGATAGACAAAAACACTGAGAAAGAAAAACCTTATTGGCAGACTTGTCTCAAATTTGTTAATTTTTATTTGGCCGTCAGGTAGCTGCTCGGTCGTTCGATAAACTCCAGCGAAAGGGTTTGCTGAAGCAGACGCAGACGCAGAAGTTGACGCAGTAGTGCTAGAGCTGGGAACATAAGAATAACGATTCGACTTTCGTTCGTCTGGGGGTGGTGTGTAAGGTGAAAAGGTTGCTGGATTTTGATAAGACATCGCTTTAAATTTCACGAGAAAAAGATTTTTAAGAGTAGATCAGAATCAGACGTCAAAATCATTTATAGGGTTATGGTATCATTCAAGTTACACAGTATCCTGATGTACGGCTACTCAACGCGTTTAGTGCATGTCGATATCAATGTTCGAACCAGAGTTGGCACTAGGATAGACTAGACAGGTTTTGGTTCAACCAAAGCCTATAAAACTATTAACGTTAGTCATTATCGTAATCGTTATTACAGTTATTACGTAACGATAGCGTTAAAAGAATAAATTATGTCAGCCAATATACCTAACTTAATTCCACCCGAAAACTTTACACCAATACTTTCACCTGAACTTAATGTCGAACAAAAAGAGATCTTTACCGAATTTTCCAACTATGTAGACACTATCTTGTTACCCGAAGATGATCCTCATCATCAGACTGAGCGTTCTTGGGTTACCGATGCTTGTTTAAAACGTTACCTTCGAGCTTCCAAATGGCAGTTAGCTGAAGCTAAAGCTAGGTTAAGATACAGTTTAGAGTGGCGAAGAGAGTATAAGCCTGCGGATATTGAACCTGAAAGAGTTGAGCCTGAGGTATTTCAATCTTAACGAGAAAATGACTAAAGTTACATTTCTGAAAAAATCTTTTATAATTCAAAAGGTCGTTACTGGTAAAATACATATCAATGGATTTGATAAACATGGACGACCTATTATTTATTTGAGGCCAGGATTAGAAAATACAAAAGCAGGGCCTAGACAAGTTTTAACCGTTGTATTTATGTTTGAAAGTGCAATTAAATTAATGCCAAAAGATGTAGATAACATTATTATCATTGTCGATTTTCACGAGTGTTCTGCTCGTAAAAGTCCTGGTCTGGGAATTGCCAAGGAATTCATGCATGTTTTAGGATCCCATTATCCTGAAAGACTGGCAATGGCGCTAGTTGTTAATGGTAAGAAAGGTTTACTCTTAACCACAAATAATTTTTGAGAAATAAAATTGTCTAAATTAAAATTATTATTTTCTTTAGCTCCTTGGTACTTTTGGGGATTTTTCAAACTTATATCTCCCTTTATAGACCCTGTCACGAAGAATAAGATAAAATTTGTTGATCTTGAAAATCCGGATAGAATGAATTCCAACCCACAATGGATTAATATATTAGATGAAATTGATAAGAATCAATTAGAAAGCGTATATGGTGGGAACCAAGAATTTGTTTACAATCACGAAATTTATTGGGACACGCTATTAAAAGGAATTGGAAAGAAGTAATTATGCAAAGATAGAAGATATTGGTTCTAACTACGTTACTTATAATAAAATTAAAAAATAAATACACTTTGGTTACCCTCACAATAATCTTGCTAATCCTGATATTAAAAAATAACATACGCTGCCTAAAATACCTATAGTGCCTCTGATACCATCATCAACCAACTTTATGGATAAAACGGCAACGTCTATTAATTTCCCCAAATAAAATGCTATTACTGTTAAAATTAAAATTTCCCAAATGATTATAATACGTTTAATAATTTCATTTTGATCTTCAAGAAATTTATAATGCGAGTCTAGTATTAAAGAAAATGTTTTTGCCAAGACTCCTATGCCAAATATATCAGTTATCTTGACGTTAACTGTTATATTCCAGAGACCAGCTGTAGTTTCAAGTGAATTTAAATGTTTTTGAGAATGCTTTGAGGAACCAGGCGTTGGCCGTTTGGCTATTAAAGAGTTTCCTTTCCAAAATTTAAATATTGTGCCAGTAAAAGAACGTGAGTTTTTGTTGGGTGACGGTACCTTCTTTTTTAGCATTGTTTTTTTCTTTTCGGAGTAAAGTCTTAAAGCATGTTTATTTATAGCACTTGGTTACCAATAATTAATTTAATCACGTGAGTAAACCTTAATTTAGTACAGATTATTATATACATATGATTTCTCGGTTTTAATCTTCCTTAGATACAATATATTGTTGAATAACTTTTCCATCATATTTGAAATCTATCATCTTGACCCATGTCAAGACATCCTTTGCTTCATAAATCCCGGGAAAAGTGCCGATTATTGCGGACTGATTTTTAAAATAAACCTTTGAATAAATAACGTGAGGTTGTGCATCAAAATGATTCTTTATTCGATTAGCGCATCCTTCACAGCTGATACCATTAATTTGGAGAACAAAGATTTCTACTTGTTTATTTGAATAATCTGACATAGGCATGCTGGAAATGTTGCTTTGGTTATAACGCGACACGACTTCAGGAGAAATGCTTAATAGCACTGAAATAAAAATTGTTATTAATGTCCTCTTGGACAGAAGTCCATATTGAAATATTGTAGTGGTTATCAAGATTGCAGTGAAACTAAGAAACACTAGTCGATAAGGTGTAAGAAGACTGAATCCAGCGCAGCCAACGGAAAATATATTCAAGATTAGCTGAATAACGCAACAGCTAGAACTAAGAAGACCACACAGTATCGCCCAGAAGTATGATATTTTTGGTGAGCTGCTATCACCTTTCATCGTGTTTGTCTGGTTAGAAGTCTAATATTGTTTGATGAACAGAAAAATGAATATTTATAAAAAATCAGCCAATTGGCGTAGTACCCTAAAATTTGAAATAGCACCCTAAAATTTTGAATTTTTAGTTTGTTTCGTTTTGAATAAATTATTGTATAATAAGTAACAAATAATGCTGTACTGTATAATTTAATTTTTAAAATTGTTTATATATTGTAATATACAGTATATACAGTATATATATACTATAAACCACTATTTTTACTTTTTAAATCTTAGATTAGTAAAAATAAAATTTGTACTAATAAAATAATTAATGCAATAAATATATTAATAAATTACACTAATAAAATACAGTATGCTAATACTGTATTAATATATATAATAATAATTAGAATTATATATTATTACTGTATACAAATATTTGTATAATATTAATTTTAGTTATTTTTTAAATAAAAAATATAATTTGAATATTTAAATGTTTAAAATTTTTTTAAAATTTTTACTATAAATTTTTTTTATAGAATTTATAAAATATTAATATTTCAAATATAGAAAATTTTATTTTAATATAAATTTAAATTTTACAATAAAAATTATTGTTTTTATACAAGCTATAATATTGTATTAAAAATAAGTTTAACCTAATAGCTAAAAATATAAATTTTTAATTAAAAATTTTTTGAGTTATATATAAAAGTCAATAGAAACCAAGCAAATTGTTTTTAGTAAGTTTTTTTAAAACTTTAAATTAAAATATCTTAACAACTATTAAACCAAACTTGATAAAAATTTTTTTATTTTAATTTTATAACTAAATAGAATTAAACTAAAAAATTTTTTATCAAGTTTGGTTTAATAGTTGTTGAAATATTTTAATTTAAAGTCTAAAAAAAATTTACTTAAAAACAATTTGCCTGGTTTTTATTAACTTCTCTATATAGTATTTTTGGTTTATAAACAACTTATTATAAATATATATACTGTACACAGTATAATTTAAATATAACTACTGTATACAAGTTTTATTTAAATATATATTTTAATATTTTAAAACCAAATTTGCTTGTATAAGTTTATAAATTAAAAAATAATTTTAATTTGTTATGAATATTTTATAAATAGATTTATAAATATAAATACAATTTAATACTGAATAATATTTTTAAATAATATATATTTCGTATTTATTATTTTTAAAATTTTTTTTATTAATTTTATTTGTTAAAACTAAATTGTTTATTGTTTACTATATTTGCTATATACAATATCTTTACTGAAACTTGCAAAATTAAGTAGTAGGCGCATTGCTAATATATAGTAAATGTATATAGTAATAATAAAATAATTATATACAGTAGTAACTTTAAAGTAAAAAAAATTAACGTATTGCTACTATACTGTCCAGTAGTTAATGCAAAGAAAATTGCTACTACCAAGTAACTATATAGCTACTTTATTATTACTTTAAAGTTGCTAAATTAGAAGTTTCTGTAAAGATTGTATACAATATATATATTTTTAAATTATTTTTTAAAATAAAGTTTTAAATAAAAAATAAAAATTTAATCAACATAATATAGCTTTTTAAATTACTATACAGTATATTTTAAATAAAGTTTTAAAAATCCATTTAAAATATATATTAATATATACTAATGTTGTCATATATATATAATAAACTTTAATATATATATACATACTGTATACTGTATATATATTGTATATATACTGTATTTTAATTTTGTTATAATCTAATCATTTAGTCAATATGTACTATATACAGTATTACTATATATATACTGTATATTATAATTTCGTAATAATAAACCATATACAGTATATGCGATTTTTATAAACCATAAATATTATAACTAGAACTTTTAATATTAGGTTTAAATAAACAATATTTATTGAAAATACTGTATATTAAAAATTCAATTTAAAAAAATTCTATTAATGATAAAATCTGCAAGGTTGAAATGTCAAGTTTTTTTTTAATTAAAAAGTAAAATCGATAAAGTGATCATGTTATACGTACGTATAATTCAACCCAGTTTTTATTAAATCACGTGCTTAAACCCCCAACATTAACGTTAATATCAAATGATTCTTTTTAGATTTTTTTTTATCTTTTTCTTTTTTTTATATTTGTTTGTTTGACATGTAATGCTCATGGTCAAAAAAATAGATAGTTCAGATATGCAAATGGGGCTTTGTACAAGTTTTCTAAGCATCTTATATCCTGACCGATACATCAAGATTGATTGAACATTTCACTGTTACTCAGGGAAACATTCCTTTCAGTATCTCTTTACCAAAAATATAGGTTTTAATGAGCCAAAAAAAATACACATGAGAAGCTTTCTTTATATTCGCTATTTTATTGGCAAGATTTTTTCTTAACATTCAAGAAAAAGGTTTCAGCGCAGTTTCATCACCGCTGCGGTCCAACAATCAAAAAATTCACGTATTATTTAAATATCACTTTATAAATCAGGGGATTATCAATTTATCACATAAACCTATATATAGAGTGTATAAAACCTGAATTTTTTACAATATAGTAGAATTTCTATGAATATCTTATAATGATAGGCAATTCAACACCCCATAAGAATATCATATTTATCACATAGAAAGGTTTCATCCGAAATTTTTAGATGACGTTGTGTATATTATTAGTCAACTGATAAACGTCGATGAATAAAAAAAAAAAAAAGATATATAAAGTCCCTGTGATTAAACAAGCCTCTTTCGTAAGCTGGTTTGGGTGCAAAAAAAAAGTATATATATTATATAATAAGTTACAAACCACCTGCAGAGCTACTCGAGATCACTGCCTTGAGACTATATACGAGACTCTATACTTAACTACTGCTTCGACTTTTGTAAACCTGAGCTACCTGTTACTTTAAATTGCCACTAAGGTTTTAGTGTTTGACCAAATCTAATTTTGCGGTATTGACCATCTTAGTTGACTTTATTTTTTCCTTCAGTCCTATTAAATAAATACCAGAATTTATAAAGTAAAGAAGGGACGCCATAATCTAAAGTAGCGGCAATAATGATGGCGACCTCACACGCTTTCCAACCGGAAGAGAGTTTACCTCATCCTCCACCTAATTTTCCGCAACCAATAAATACAAAACAGGCTGTAATTTACAATAAGTCGGGCACAAAGTGTATGAACATTGTAAAGGAACCTTCCGGAACGCCTTTATCACCGACTTCGCCTCCTTCAAAAGATCCAGGTGAACTTGCACCTTCTCATAGCACACAAAATAGTAATGGCGCCACAAAAAAGAAAAAAAAGAAGAAGGGCAAAAGAAAGCCACCTCCAGATCACATTGAAGATCCCGATATTGCCAATGGGACTCATAATCAACATACAAAGTCTCATCATAATAATTACAGTAGCGATTTTGATGGCGAAGAAGTAGTTGATGTGGATATAGAAGATGATGAAGAATTTTTCTCGGATGATGAAGGGTACGATCCTGAAGCTCCAGAAATACCTTTCCCACGCAAGGATTCTATCACTAATTTTGATGGTGATAACCATAATGTTCCTTCTACGCCCGCAAAGAAAAAGAAGAAGAAAAAGAAGAATAAATCTGCTCTTTCAATCAGTCAAATGACGGATATTCACAATCATCCTCATCATAATCATAATCATAAATCTCGTAAAGACGGTATCTGGAATACCAATAATAACGAAGAACGGCAACGGATAAGAGAATTCTGGTTGCAATTAGGTGAAGAGGAACGACGGAGTTTAGTAAAAGTTGAAAAAGAAGCCGTACTTAAAAAAATGAAAGAACAACAGAAACATTCATGCTCATGTTCCGTATGTGGTCGAAAGAGGTTGGTGGTATAATAATATTGCCACTTACAATTTAAAAAAAAAAAAAAAAAAAAATTCATTAGAATGACTGTATTTAATTTTATGATCAATCCATTATTAAATTTTATATCCAAAGTTGATGCTTTATTCAATTGATACTGTGTACAAGCCACTATATTTATTTAATATTGATTTTTGAAAATTATTTCTATACTATATTATTTACATAAATATATTAAGATATATTTTTGATCTAAATTTAGGACCGCTATTGAAGAAGAGCTAGAAACACTTTATGATGCTTATTATGAAGAGCTCGAATTATATGCTAATCAACAGCAACAATTCGGTTCTTCACCTATCGAATATCGTAATGATTCTGTTGCGGAATACGACGAAGACGACGAGGATGATGAGTATGATGATGATGATGACGACGAGGATGAAGATTATGAAGGCAGTGAGCACGGTAGCGATACTCGGAAGGAACTTTTTAATTTTGGTAATAGTTTAACCGTGAAAGGTGCGTGATGACTACCTGGAAGGAGACAAAAGGTCCTTAAGGAAATATCTTCTCGATGGTCGATTCTCTTTATTCCTTTATATCTATATATATTATATCATAATTTTAGTCAATATTAAAAGCACTAATACATATTTACTGGATTAGGAGGTATTTTGACCGTAGCTGATGACCTTTTAAAAAATGATGGGAAAAAATTTCTTGAAATGATGGAGCGACTTGCTGAACGTCGAATGCAAAGAGAAGAAGAAGCTGCGAATGAACAACGTGATTATGAAGAGGATGATGACGAATATGAAGACGACTATGAAGAAGATGGAGAAGAGGTGTGAATATTTTGTGAAGTCTAACTAATCTTACAATTTATACTTAACTAAAAAATTTGTTCATAGGATACACAAACAGAGGAACAACGTATGGAAGAAGGTCGGCGGATGTTCCAGATATTTGCAGCACGAATGTTTGAACAAAGAGTACTAAATGCTTATCGAGAAAAAGTTTGTATATGGCCAATTAGAGTAATGTTTATAGGCATTTTATATTTTTTAATTTACTAAAGATAGATTTGTGAATAATTAGGTTGCCCAAGAGCGACAACAAAAATTATTAGAAGAACTAGAAGAAGAAAACCGTCTAAAAGAAGAACGTGAATTAAAAAAATTAAAAGAAAAAGAAAGGAAAAAAGCTAAAAATAGGTTTGGGAGTTATTTGGTATTAATATTTTAGTGATTATAAAATTTTATTCAATGTTCATTCGAATATTCATTTAGGGCCTTAAAGCAACAAAAAGAGGAAGAAAGAGCAAGGAAAGAAGCTGAGAGGCTTGCCGAAGAGCAAGCATTACGTGCAGAGCGAGAAAAAAAAGCTGAAGAAGAACGTAAAAAACGTGAAGAAGAGCGTCTTCGAAAAGAGGCGGAGCGAAGAGCAAAGGAAGAAGAACGATTAAAAAAAGAGGAGGAAAAAAGGAGAAGGGCAAAGGAGGAAAAGGAAAAGGAGGAACGTAGGAGAAAAGAACAAGAGGCAAAAGAACGTAAAGAGAGAGAGGAGAAAGAACGTAAAGATAGAGAAGAGAAAGCTCGTAAGGAAAAAGAGGAGAAAGAGCGGCGTCAACGTGATGAACGTGATAAAAAAGAGCGTGAGGCAAAAGAACGAAGAGAGCGTGAGGCAAGAGAACGAAAAGAGAAAGAAGAAAATGAACGTAAAGAGAGAGAATTAAAAGAGCAAGAGAAAGTTCGTAAAGAAAAAGAAGAAAAGGAGCGTAGAGAGCGAGAAGAAAAAGAGAGAAAAGATAAAGAAGAAAAAGAACAGAGGTCTGTTACTTTACCCTCTACATGGCAGCATGTTGAGCGAAAACGCACTATTCCACCAATAGGTCAACCTTCTATACAACAGTCACAACCACCAATAAATAATCAACCAGCCGTACAATCTAAAAATGTTGTTACAATGTCTAACGGATGGATTAATAATTATACATCACACGAATCACATCAAAATATTCCTCCACATCATGCTATAAATCAACCTCATCACATGCCCCCACCCCCTAATCATCCACCACATCCAATATTTAGTCAGAATGGGCCACAACCTCAATTTGGAGGACAACCTGGAGGGATTATAAATGGTCCAGTAGGAATTAATAATGAGATCGTAAATGATGTATATACGAACAATAAAAAAATACTTAATCAACCACCACCACAGCCAACAAACACTTTACCAGGGATGAATCCTGCATCTTCGCTGTTCACTACGGGATTAGGCCCAATTGGTATGGGTGTCCATCCACATCATGGTGGACCTCCGATGCCAATGCACCCTCATCACCCAGTAATGCGACAACAGATACCTCCTCGAGGGTTCAATCCAATTGGGGCAGCCCCTCATTTAACTGGTCCTGCTACAGGTGTTCCACCATCAGTAGCATCCACAAATTTATCTCTTCTTAATGAACCTGTAATTAGTGGTAATGGAAATATTGGTGCTGCAGGATTAAATACTAACCCACCACCTGGTGCATTTGGTGGATTACCTTTAGGTGGAGGACAAGGACCATTAGGCCCACAAACATTTAATTTGGGAACTCAGGTTGTTGGTCAACCAACATCCTCTTCTCATATTGGCCCTAATGTTGTCCAAAACGCACCATTAGCTCCTATCGGGCATCGTAGGATGTCACAACATCCCGATGATCCGCATATCAAAGCGGTGCAGCGACCACAACCGATACAACGTCCAACACGGAGAGAATCAGTTACGACGCATACATCCCTGGACACACGAACACGATCACCACCACCAGGATTTGGTAATATGGTTGGCTCTGGCGCGTTGATTGGCGATGATCAACCACACCCAATGACGAATAGGCGGCAAAGCCTTGCACCTGCTGAAAGTTCATATTTTTCCAATTCTTTATTTTCAGCCTTACCTGGAGGTTAGATAAATTTTATTTAAACCTATAAATTAAATAAACAATTACAAGTAATTAAAAACGATCATTTTTTTAGAAACATCTCAACAGTCGCAATCTTCACAGAATCAACAACCGCAACCGCAGCATCAACTAGGGTCGTCACGTCTAACACACAGACCTGTTGGTGATAATGAATGGCCTCCAATAAGAAGATCAGGAGGAACAGATAATATTAGTGATACAGTGTCTATGAGTAGTAGTAGTAGTAGTAATAATATTAGTAGTAATAATATAGGAGCATCAAATTCAGATATTTGGAATTTAAACTGGTATCAAGAAGGTAATAACAATGCTAATCGTAGAGTAATGGGCAGTTCGAAAGACTTTGGAATACCATAATCAAAAATGATACCAAATATATAATGAAATATTTGTAAAATCGTATTACTATATATTAGTAGTGCAAATTCTTCTCTTGTATACCATACATACATACATACATACATATACATATATTTTTTTCATCATTTAGGTTCGGTTTGGTAAAATTATAGTGTTCTTTTTTTTTTGGGAAGTCAAAGGCACTGAATACAGAAAAAAGTCTTTTCTATACCACTTTCACTTCTACAAGGGTTTTCTCTTAATATAGTGAATGACAAAAAAACCTTTATTCGTGTTTAAGCCAGAAAGCCAGCATATACTACATCTAATTTATTCCCAAAAATTTATATATGGGTTATAAAAAACACGTAAGAACTTGACTGTACAATAAGTTACCTAATGAATCAAAAACAAAAATAAAATAATGCATTGAATAAAAAAAAAAGAGAGAAACAGTAGTGAAAAAAATTAAAATTTTGAGAACAGTGATTTTTTTTTTATAATAATAGTCTAGAAGCATGAATTATTCTGCAATTCACTAATTCTTCTTCAGCAGTTACAATTCCATTTGGCGTTACCAGAGGACAATTAGCCACATCAAGGTGTCTAAGTGTTCCAGCAAGGTGTTGACAGATTTTCGTTATGCAATCATCATTAACATTACGACAATATCTTAGAACCAGTTTGTTCAAATTATGGCAGGCACTGACCAAATCAATCACAGCCTGGTCACTTATGGTCCATTCTCTCACATCAAGAGCACATATGGATTCTCCGATGTTAACACGAATGGAGTGCATAAGTTCATCAAGTAAAGAGTCTTCATTATTTACATCAACTCCACCAAGAACTAAAATTTGCAACTTTTTACACGATTGAACTAACTCCATTATAGCTCTTATCTCAACACGAATTACATCCAACCTGAATTCTATGAGATTAGGGCAATGAGTCGCGAGTGCTTTGATGCCTTGTTCAACAGAATCAGCAGCACCACATGGCAACATAATCAATTTTCTAAGATTATGTTTGCAATGAGTAGCAAGTGCTACTATGGCTTCTTCTGATACTTTTGTTTCCGAAAGGTTGATTTCAGTTATCATCTGACCAAATTCCAACGCATTGAATGTTTTTTCATCAACACTATGGCAATCACTCAAGTCCAAAGATTGGAGTTTCCGAAATCTTAAATTATCCATCGCATGATCAATATGAAGTCCATTTATACGTAAGTCAGTAATTTTTGCAACAACGGATGGTGTCAAACCAGCCAATAATGTTCTAGGAGCCATGGTAATCTTGATGCAAAGTTCTTCAAGATAACCATCTTCTTGCGAACCCAAGAAATTATTCAAAAGCGCAGCAGAACAACCACGCACAGTAAATTTGAATACGCGAAGCCGTTTACAATTACTAGTGATAAATTTTAAAGTTTCATCCGTGTTTTCATATTGTAGAAGATCAAGATGCGCAATATTAGGAAATTTTTGAACCATTAAAGTAAAAATATCGACAGCAGAATGCCAGCATGTAACCAGTGATTCCACGTTGGAGCAACGATTACCAAAAGCCTCTGACAAAGCAAAAAAGGTTTCTTGAGTTTTCCTAGATCTGTCACCGCAAGAAGCTGTAGCTGCTATCCTAACTTCAAGGAATCGGTATAGAATTGGAATATTAATGTGTCGTGTAAGTGCAACATAATCCATGATTGTAGAACTAGAAGAGCCTTCCTCAGTAGACTCCGTTGGCTGTTCATTAATACAGCTTATATAAGTTCTGAGTAGTAAAGCTCCTTTCGGATTTAGTTCTCTCTTATAAAGTTCTTCCTCCTCTTCAACTTCAAAATATTTCCAAGGATTCTTATAGAGAAGCGGTGCAGTAAGTCGCGCAAATAGGCGGTTTGTACGCAGGCAACTATTAAGAGCCTTACAGTCATGAGTTAGGTGTGAAATTATTTCGTGAATACACTCCACTGGGAGTGCCTTCTCAAGTGAACGAGTAGACATTGTAAATACGTTTTGAAAGGTGCTCGTGATTTTTCAGTCAATTTATATTATATATATCTTGAACGCACTTCGATCAATTCTGTAACGTTACACGCATCATATGCACATATCAAATAATTTGAGTGATTTTACAGAATTAACGCGAACAAAAAAAAAAAAAAGATTTACTTTGATCACATGAAATTATGTAGTTATGTAAGAAAAAAGTAACATTTATTACCTGTTTTTTGTGAGGAAAAAAAAAGATCTTGCCAGGGGAGATCTGGCTTTACTATTAACAGAAAGACCTGCAATCGATTTTTTTCTGAATAAGTATTACCAAAAAAATCATTATTTTTTCCCTTGACTAACTTTTATATTGTCTAAAATAATAACAATAGTGACATGTGCAATATTATTAAATTTAATTAATTTTATTTATATATAATAAATTGTGAAGAGAAAGGATTATTGCGGGATATATCTCATGATCTAATCAGGTAATCATAGCATTAATATGAGAAATCAAATTACCAGTTCCGATTATCTTATTCAATGTATTAAATGTTTTACATTACGTAAAGATGATGAATTAAAAAATATAGCGATAGCGATAGTGTGAAATTGGTGAAATTAATTTAGCCATTATCTCTGGTTATCCGTACACTCTCCTGACGGAATTTACAAGTAGCAACAAAATAAACGTTTTTTTTATAGGTTGGATTACAATTTTTTATTTAAATAATAACTATAAAGTTATTTACATCGATTTTAATATTAATACGTACATACAGTACTTTCAACAAAATTTTTTATTAATTTTGAATCTTTTTTTTTTGTAGCAAATTACTGTTTAGTAAAATTTAAATATTTAAAAATAATACATAGTATTTATATATTTTTTTATTTTTTTTAACTTTAGCAATTCTGCCTTTATTAACTAGAAGTATATATTTTGAGATACAGTCAAACCTCTCCATAATCACACACGTGGGATACAAAAAAGTGTGACAATTATAAAGGTTAATTTATTATATTTAATAATGTTTGTTTTTAAAAAATATATTTATAAAAAAAATATGCTTATAGAAGATGTATAGTGCTTAAACACCTAGTCTGCAATAACTAAATGCCTTAAGCCCTACTATTTTTTAATAAAAACTTACCTAGTTGCTTACAAAAATAATTTGCTATAAATCATCTTTTTTAATATTTTTTTTTTCAAAAAGACAAAGAAAATAAAATAAAAAAAATATAACCAATAAAAAAAAAGAAAAACAAAAATATATACCAAAGAAAAAAAATAGAAAAATAAAAATAAAACAAAAAAATAACAAAAAATTTAGTCTAAATTAAATCTAGCTATAGTACTATTATTATTTATACAAGATTTAAAATTTATATAACAAATATAATATTTGTATATTTCTACTATATTATAAATTTTGCTTTAATGTTGAAAATTTTCAACTAGATTATCTTATCTTGAATACTTTTTTAACTGCCAATATTAATTAATACTATATAACATAGCATAGCTATAAACAGAATTTGAAAAAAGTAAACAATCTTAATATAAGCTATATTAGCAAAATATATAAATAAAAATTTACAAAAGTTATAATAGCCTAAAATATTTCAAAATTTTCAATTACAAAATAATATAAAATTTATTTCAAAATATTACAAAAGATATATTAAAATATTTTGAAAAATATTTTGAAATAATTTAAAAGTTTGTGAAATAATGTAAAGTAAAATAAAATAGATTAATTTAACTGAACTCAAAATTTTTCAAATTATACTAAAAATTATAAGTTATATATAATAATAATATTATTATGAAAGAGGTGTGGTGACTTAGTGTAGTGGTCTAGTTGTCACTCTCTCCAAGTGGCAGGTTTAGAGTTTAAATTCCACGGACGAATTTTAAAAAATAGCCTGTGTTATGGTTTACAGTTGTCAATTATCGGTTGGATCTAGAAATCTGTAATCTCGGTCATACCATCTAGTTATGGGAGCTTTGG